TAGCTGGGGAGCAGTGCAAAGAACAATGAATGACAACGGTCTAATATGAATCATAATGTTCAGATACTGTTCTTGACCCTGCTCACCCTGACTGATGGGCAACGACAACCTGACCGATTTGCTGGTTGGTAACTGTCGATGGACCTGCATCAATCTGATGACTGACACTGATGATCATACCAGGACCTGAGTTTGATTGCTAGTTAGCAGTAATAGGGTAGATCATTGCCCAATGGCTGACATTGTTATTAATACTAATTTATTTTTCAGTGGTATGGATTACGCCTGTGATGTGCATGTTATCTCAGTCGATAGCTGCTCCCCTGCAGAGAGAGCTGGTGTAAAGGCAGGAGATGTGATAGTGGAGGTGAGCATTTCTCAAATCCTGTACTGCAGTACATGTAATTGAGTATTAAATTGTTACCTGTTCCAACTGATTACAGTAGTACTGGGTTCTTATTGAAAGAAGGAACTGTAAGGGGCTGTAAGTATGTATGCAAAAGGTAAAAGTAGCTTTGAGGAGGAGTGGGGGTTAGTATCAACAATAATATTTTTCTCATAGGTGGTGAGGTTTGTAACTCCTTCAATCTTACCACTGCATTTGTCTATGAATGAGCTTTTTTAGGTTCACATGTGGCAAGGAACAGGTATCCTGTTGGTGATTTGTCTAAACTGGATTGATTGTGTGATACCTTGTTTCTCTTTGTCTTCTTTAGGTTAATGGAGCTAGCACAAAGGATTTAACACATGTTCAAGTTGTGAGGCTTGTTGTTACATCTGGTCCTTGCGTTACATTTTCTTTGAGGTCAGGTAGCAAACAGAGGAGACGTTCCTCAAGGCTGCAACCAGTTGGAGTGCAACCAACCCCTCTAAGAACCCAGCATAGAGGTTCCCTTGATGAGACTCCCCTGGGAAGCCAATGTCTGTGCTATATGCATCATTTACATTTACTGTTTTAGGGCAGTTGCACTTGATTGGGTTTCCTTTCTCGTGGATCTCAAGGACAGTTCAATTATTACTAAAAGTAACTTTCATCTTCTTGCCAAAAAGTTAATAATGAATTGGCAGCATGTCTTTGTGACCTCCAATTTAGTCTGTAATTGTAAATCGTACTCACTCTGGTGATTAACTTATCAGACTCCTGCTTTGTGGTTGTACAATTTTGTTAATCACTCGTATGATCTCAGATCTCTCTGGATTCCAATCAGTTGTGTTACATATACCATCATGTAGAATTACTTGCAGTTCATTTTGATTAAATAACCATATTTTTTTTATGCTACAGGGTGCATTTGGTTATAAGATGCACAGTTAACTTTAAACTCTGTTATAAGGCACAACCTGAATTACAGGTCGGAATTTTTGATCACGTTCACTCACCATTCACTAATAAATCAAGTTTTGGTTACCATGTAGTCTAACTATTATCCAAAAATATTGTAACCTGCAACCAACTAAAAGCTCAGTATATTTCTTTATTCTATTTCTAACTATTGATAGTATTGACTAAAGTGTTACGACAAATTTGTTCTGATCCTAGGATCAGAGAAGCCCTTTGGCTAAGAGATGGGCCCTACATGGATGGGATGGGCATGTTACATCCAGCCTTTTTACCTGCCCAATCCATTTATACTCCTGGCTGGTGATGTATTCTGTATAGTTTCATGTCTGAGAATTGTGAGCTCAACACATGCTTGCCAAGGTAACTAAATAATTCCAAAAGCCTACAAGATTGTTTAATCTTTTTTATATAATCTGGAGTCAGCGCACTAATCAATATGTATTACGTACTGTTTGGCTGACCGCCTGTTCAATCTAGGGTATGTTGCTAATAAGTAAAACCAAGTTCCAGCTAGCAACAGCTCTGTAAGCTTCAGGTGTAGTTTTGAGAAATACCATACTTTATCCTTGCTAATTGGTCACTAAGAGCACTAACTTGAAAGACAAGTTTTTTGGCAAACTCACAATCTTACGACTATTTTTTTTGAATTTTTTGGTGATTACACACACATATATATATTAAGCTCACTAACAATAATTATATATAATACATTATTATAACTGATTTGTATTAAAGTTTTAAGTGCCATTACACAAAAGAAGCTGGTGCTACTCTATACCAGCCTCCTATGCAGATGCTCTTTGGGCTCATCACGCAATCTTCCCTGACATGCCCAAAAGAACGTCTGCGTACAAGGCTATGACTATACATGTCATTTGATAGACTACAAAGAACTATCAATCAGGTAAACTATGTGTATCATGAGTCTTTCATTTGAAAGTACGTTTCAATTAAACTTTTATGAAAAGTAAAGGCTGGAATATTTATTAACGCATAATAATTGTTTTGGTTTCTGCTCATGAGCTGATGAACAGCATCTCATAGTTTTGTGTGACAATTCTTTAGAATTGTAAAGTGACCATTTATGCTTGGAAATGCTGTGTCATTGCTTTTTCACGTCCAAAACTTTTGCAAGATTAATGTTTCTATAACTTGATAGAAACAAAGAGATGTTTTCTTTTTCTTTTAGAAAGCACGACGAGAAAAATCACTTGTTCATTTTGATCATCAAAATGTAAATTATCTTCTCATGCCTACATTACATATGTCAACAGCTCCTACTAGTGCTCTCTTTCTGTCAAGTTATAGAAACAGCTTTAGGCACATGCTTTTGTACAGGTTGTTTTCTAATTCACTGTACTGAGTTTATATTGTTTTGAGGTGGTATAAAAATGATACAAAATTATAATAAAAAAATATTTTCATCCTAAACATTTCCATTCAAGTGTTCCTAATATAGCCTTAAATGTGATGACAATTCCTTATATTCATGCTGGCATTTTTACCAAAACCCTTTGTTATTTATATCCTTGAAGTTTACTCAAGGCACAATACTCATAAAGACTTTTCAAATAATTAAACCTGGTTCTATTTTTGTAAAGCA